TTTATTCTCAGATCAGCACAGATATCAACAAATTTCCTCTTCAGGCAGAAGACATCATCCACTCTGCATGATGCTGCTGTGTGCACAGCGTTAGTTTTCCACCATACATGGTGCTTTGCATTCCTCCATCTCCGCAGCTCTTCTAGAGTTACCACAGGTGTCTTAGCTGTTTCTTTAAGATTAGGTTGACTGTCATGTCTTTTTTAGGCTTAGAGTTGTAGAATACTCGCAATTTTCCTGATGATCTTGAGATAAGAAACCTCTGCTTCAATTTTATATTTTATACCGAGACAATACACACACACGCGAGCCCACGCATGCGCACACACATGCATACACACGCACACACACGTTTCTCTATTTGCTGCTTCAGTGTGTTTTGATCTGAATCTGATGTTTATTTTGGGGATTATTGGTGCCATGTAAAGGGGACTGGTAATGTATGCTACAGTTTTGAAAATATTTGTTTAGAAATGTTCAGTATCTTTTTAAACCATACTTTAAAAACACTTATGGTCAACTTCATGTTTGTTTTTTTGGCACATAAAATCTATAGAGACTACAATGAAATTTGGGGCTGCAATGGGACAAAATGTGAAAATCTTTACAGGTTTTCAGGGGTTCAAAAATACCTTTGCACGGCATTGTGTTTACAGTTTCTCTTTCCCTCTGACAAAGGATAGTTCTCAGAGGATACATTTCACAAAGAAAGTTAAAGTGAAAAAAAATCATGTCAGAGTTATGACAAGACCAGAACCCACTTTGACAGATCTGCAGATCGCAGAGAGAGGATGCTGTGGTCCCTTAACAACTAAAGTGTGCTGCTGTAATGTATAATGTGTTGCAGCTGGAAAGCTGCCTCACATACCTTGCACCGACATCTTTGTACGTTTATGTGTGCATGCGGTGTCTTTTTTTTTTTTTTTCATCCCTGTGGCCGATTTGACGACTGTATTGTGGCTTATGAAAGAGCAGTCGGGTACTGTGCCCCCCGAATGGCTGCACACCTAGAGCGCCTTGAAGGAAACGGGTTCGGAGGGTTACTGAGAGGCCCCACAGAGCAAAGCATTCAGGTTGCAGTGCATGTTAGACATATTAAGTCCCTTAAATGGTTTCTAGTAATTGTCCCTATAAAAGAGCAGCTGTATCCAGAACCAACTGCAAATGCGGCTGCTGCACCTTTACTGTCTCCAATACTCAACAATAATTTAAATTAGACTGTGTGTTTACTTATGAATACAGAGGTTGCCCTGGATATGCACTCTGCTCTGGATAATTTCCAAGTCCAATCTATATTACGGCCAGCGTGTGGAATGCACCTTTGCTCCTGGAAAATTTCACCTGAATGACTTAAGCTTGTGTGCGTGTGCTTTTGAACGTGCACATGAGTAACCTAACCATAAACGGTACCACCGCTCCTAATTTGTACATAACAGGAGCACTTGTAATATAGTTCCAAACTACAAAACATCAAACCACTAATGACATCAACCTTGTCATCATGGACAGTGATGAACTGGCAATGGCTCGAGTTAGTAAGCTCTGCCCTGGGGAGGAGGGAAGGAATCACTCAGTAGTTTGCAAAGGGCCTGACTCATGCTCATGATACGGCTGGGTGGTGCTCGAGGTGGGGGGGACACCAGGTTAAAATCTGTGTTTGTTTTTCTGTTGCAAGGCAATCCACTCTCTGACTCTGTTGTCATCAGAAGGTGTTATAGACGGGGGATGCCCTGTGGAAAACATTTAACTTTCTATGGAAGGAAATATCACAGTCAGAGCTATAAAACAAGTCAGGGACACAAGGCTATCAGTTCATGGAGTTTCTATTGTCAGTCCTGCTATCTTTTTATGATTTTCTGGCACACTGAAGTGTGAGATTCCTTGCTTTCGTTGCCAGGTCAGAGTTCAATCTAAAATGAAGCCCTAGATAATTATGTTTTTGTCATCACAACTACTATGACAGGTCACAAAACGTTTACTAAAGCATTTAAAACACACACAAAACCATTTGAAGTACTATTTTTGGAAGAGTGACGCAAACACAGAATTGCACATCTACAACAATCAACAGTTACCTGTTGAGTAAATGGGAAGTCGCAGGATTTGAAAGTGCAATGAACCCGGACTACAGGAAGGAAACCAGACTCATGCTATGATGCTGCTGCTGCCCAATATGATTGACAGCTGGCACAGTCTCTTGGGTTTGAAGACCTCCTCCTAAGAGTACTTCTTGTGATGTGATAAATAACTCAATCTTAGACCAGGACTTTAGCTCATTAGACTTTTGATTTGTCAGTGAGCTGCAGTGAGCTCCATACCTGAAGGCATAGATTTAGGAGATTCTTTATTGGAAGGCAGAGTTAAAAACATGTTTCAGCTTTGGACAGGAGACAATGGTGTTCCAGCATCATCTCTTTTTATATATCACAAATAAAAAAAAACATTCATTTTCAGTTTCAGTATTTAAAGTTCATCTTATTTTGTGGATGCTTGAACAATCTAAGCGCAATCCCAATCTTTCTTGATTTCTACTAAATACAAAACTGACTGGAGAGGGCACTCTAATGCCAAATACCAGATAAAATTGGTCTTTGATGATAAGAATAAAAATTTGATGTCAAAAAAAGAGTTGAATGTTTCTCAATATCCCTCAAGAATGGAAATAGATGAATCAAACTGACAGATCATCCAGACTAAAAGGCTCTCCAGAGGCTATGCAACTCATATCTAACGCATTCTTCAAAAATGTTCCCCTGTTTTCTTTTCTCTCAATCACTGGGAACTATGTGTGGCCCGGGGGCAAAATAGGAATCATCACCTCACTCCCAATGTCCTCTCTGCAGTCTTTATAGCTCTATTTACTGTGCAGCAGCATCTATAAAGTCATTTAATGGGGTTAATGTTGTTAGGTACACAGGCCTCAGTTGCCAGTAAACATGTTGCTTATTAGCTCACACAGAAGAGAGCAAAAGAAGGATCGAGATCTTTCTGGTTTTTCTTTCTGTAAACATATCTCTCCTCCCTTGAGATTATGTTTCGACCTTAGAGAATAATGCATCGGAAGCTTTCCATCTTTCATCTGCACCACTTATATGTGTCTTAAACTTAGAAATAAACCTTTTTGAGTAAAATGAATATGTTAACATCATGGAGCAGCCTGTTGCCATAGCATTTGTATACTCACTGTCTGAACCACCTTTCTTAAAAGGAATCATGCTCCTCAGGAAAAGCGGTTCAGTTGCAACAACTTGTCATAAATTACTTCAGCCGAGGGAATTCCACTGTAAAAATATTTGATTCATTTTATGACACCAAACGAGCTCAACTGGCCTATTAAAATGGCTGAATTAATTACCATACCATCTGCTGGAGTGATTTCTTTTTGCAGGCTTTCCAGCCACAACACCCTCCAGGTTTGAGCGGACAAGGTGTAAGCTGGACCACCTGGTCGGCTGACCTGTGCCTCCCTGCCGATCGTCACCTCTGGCTGATAATGTGTCTGCAAGCTCTCCGTCTGTCTGTGTCTCTGCTTCTGCATGCATGTCTCCTCCGTGATGACCCTCAGGCTTTATTCCCAGACCTCACAATAAAGGACAAGAGACCCCGAGCGAGTTAAGACCAGTTGGTTGTGAATCTGCATGTTAGGCAGGCAGTGGCTCCCTGTGTCCAGAAATCTTACGTAATCAAGAAAGTACAGTTTCTTGTCTTATTTTCACATTTAGTCAAATTATAACCTCAAACATAAACGTTTGTTGTTGAAATGTTATATTATGTAACTCTGATGGTGCAGGACAATGATGTGTGGTTTTCAAAAGTTGTGATTTTTAAAAGCTTTTTCTTCAGATCCATTTATTCTGATAACTTTTGTTAAATGAATGCAACCAACTGCTGACAAAGGTCACCTGACAGGTCAAGGCATGAAGTTGGGGAGAAGCTTAAAGGCTAAACAACATGTTTTAAATTCACAGGTAGCACTTTTCAATCCATCCTCAAAAATGGAAATAAATTGACAACTGCAAATCCAAGTAAACTGAAGTTGTGAAAAGGCAATTCTGAAGGAACTGCATTGATCAAATTATTTGTTAAAATGTATCATTTCAAACTAGCTTTTATGGACAACTGGCGAAAAAAACCCAAACAAACAAAAAAAGACATCACTGAATTATTCAGTCGTCATGCAGTAAATAAACACGGTACATACATATGATACAATGCGATGACCAATCTTTCTGAATTGCAGGAAAACAAAATGATGAATGATGCTGTGTTTCTTCTGCACACAAAGAAACTGGCGAGACTTGATAAAAAAAAACTGCATCATGGACTGTTACGTTATTTACTTCAAAAAGTATTTTCAGAAAGATGTATGCCTTTCTTTGCATTTGACAATGAAGCTTTGCTTCTGGTGGTCACATTAACAGCAAAATTAAACTAAAGTTTGTAGCTTTGAACTTGCGATAATGAGGGTGAAATATTTTTCCAAAGCAAAACAAGTTGGGAGGAATAAACAGAGAAACCCAGACAGCTCTAGTAATGAGTCATGACCACCAGCTGAAAATATGATTCACCACCGTGTCCTTTAGTCAAAGCATCCGGAGCGACTTATCTATTATTTGCAGTAAGATAAACCCAGAGCATCCTACTTCTTAATCCAGTTATGGATCCGTGCAGTGGTGGGAAATAAGATGAAGGAAATGTCTTTGAAAAATGGATCTATTTTCCAGTCTTCCTGTAAATAAAAAGAGACTGAACACCAAATCTGTGAAGGGTTCTTTTTTTTTCTTTTTCAAAGGACATAGACACTCATGCACTCCCTCACACAGGATGGAGGGGGGAGGCGGTAAGAGGGGTATGGGGACGGATCATGGAGTTTTAAGTCATCAGCCAACCAGCTCCCCTTGCTGAATGGATGCACGATCACCCAAACGCGAGGGGAGGCGCAATGGGCACAGAGCTGCTGGCTCTCTATATTCAGCGGCTCAGAGGCGCTCTGACACCATTCACTCCAGAGTCCTACACGTCCAAGGACCTGCGCGCAGACACGCTCTGAACAGCCCGTCACGGACGCCTTTCTCCATTGGAGATTTCCTTAGGGCATCTTTTGGATTATTTTTCATTCAAGACTTTCAGAACAGAGAAAAAGCAGTGCGCTTTCACTTGTCCTCAGAGACAAGCAGCTGTTTTTAATGTGTGGTTTCTCTTTGCATTGGGTCAAAGTGTGAAGTCTTTTTTTTTTTTTTTTTTTTGCTAAGGTGAAGGACAAGTGCAATGTGCGCTAGACTTGTTTATTGGATTTGCCTCACGCGTGCGTAAGGAAGGTATATGCTGTGGAGGAGCACAGGGCTTTTTCCAAGAGGACGCAGCTCAATGTGAATAAAAAGAAAACTGCTCAGCCCGAGAGTTTCAAGCAAGTACAAGCAGCGCGTCTGGCCGAGCTGCTCTGACTACACCGTTTCCCTCCCTGAGGGGATGGTTGTGGATCCTCTGGAGCCAGGAGCGAGTCAGGGGCTCCTACGCGGCAGCACATTTTTCGTGTTTGAGGGAGACTTTACAGTAAAAGGAGATGAGAGCCACAATTTGCTGCTTCCTTCTGTGGACGACGTACCTGCTGGCCACTGCTGAGGTAAAGTGACCAGATTCAACCAGGTTTTATTCCAAATCAGAGTGCAAAGGTCCTCTCCTCAAGGGCCACACATACATACGCATAACACTGAAACGCGAAGTTTAATTTAAACTCCATAGGAATGAAGTTTGAATTAATGCCTTTGCACAGAAAATCAAAACAATAAAACCACCTCTCAGATGATTTGAGGCACAAGTGCGCGTCTCAAAGTAAACACCGCTGCACGCGCTTGGACGCACAACGCAGTTATTTTTGGTCTTCTTTTGGTGCCAAATCTGTTTGTAGCTTGAGGGCAACTGGGCAAACGTTTTGGTTGGACCAAGCGCGTCCATGGGAACCGCTCTGGCTGATAAAAATAGTTGCTGTTCCTGTAAGGGCTGCGCACGTCTTGCTCAACCCGAGGTGCCTGGATGAAGCGCGACAAGTGCAAAGGGTGCGAGGTTGCCGCTCCCGCAGTCTTACAGCTTTCGGTCTGAGTTTCGCCTTCCAGCTCAGAGGAAGAAACTGATGTGTATTTCTGAGGTCTAATGTCGCTGACTATTCACTAAATTCGCAAACGGATCTCTCTGGCACCTTGTCGCAGAGTTGGCTTCTGAAAAACATTTCCTCGGTTGAGCCTTTATTTATACAGCCAGACAAATCCCAATGTGCTTCCCAATCACTCGACTCATCTCTAACCTTATTTTCTTTGATTTTTTTTTTGTCCCGCTCCCTGCCACAGAAGGAAGTGGAGTTTCCCCAGGAGCTGATCGATCGACTCTCCAACAGTGAAATCCACAGCATCAGCGACCTCCAGCGGTTACTGGAGATTGACTCCGTAGGTAAATTCTGCCTCTTGTTATTTTATTTATTTATTTATTTATTTATTTATTTATTTATTTATTTATTTATTTATTTATTTATTTTTCGAGTCAAGTGTCTGCAGGTAGTATACCCCCGGCTTTTGGATACTAATCTGATTAAACCTAACATGAAAAGTCAAGATTCTTATGTCGTGGCTTTATGATTAACCTAAATAATAGTTTGCACATTTGGAAATGCATGATCCAAGACAAGTGCATTTACTGCACACATGTGATGAAGGGTGAGTTCAGTGAACTTGCTTTGTTGCCTCCAGACGGCCTCATCTTTTTATGCCATAAATCTGGTGAAAAGTTGTAGCAGGTTGCAGGTCTAGCTGGCTTCTTCTCCCTCTGTGTCCCAGACTGTCTTACTGATTAAATTACATCTGTGCACTGGAAGAACTTGTTTGCCTTCACATGAGCCTCTATTTACACAGGCTGCTGTCATATATCAAGTTCAGGGCTCCCACTGTGCAGATTTGCCAACAGAAACGGGTAATTACCTCTCCTGCTTTACAACTCTCTACGTTTTACATTCGGCAAACAAGGGAAGAGACTGGAATTTGCGTTATTATGGGTTATAATAGCCATGTTTTGTGTTTTCTCGAGCTTCCTCCACATATTTCAATGTATTTTATAGTGGACAATTTTACAATAGACAGAAAATGACATGTGCTTATGTTGAGATTTTTCTTATTCAGAACCTCTTAATTCAATACTTGGATGCATGTTTTCTGAAATCTGTCTATTCCATTTTGGAAAATAGTTTGAGCTCAATCAGGTTGGATGGAGAGCATCTACAGATACAAAGTTAATTGAATTTATCTCTAGACTTTGACTAGGCTTTTCCCACACATACTAAACCAATCTCTTGTTGATCCGACTGTATGTTTAAGGTTGCCGTCCGACTAGAAGGAGAACCTCTGCCCCAGTCCAGAAACTTTTAACTCAACTTTAGGATTACCCCCATGTTTCCTTCTGTCTTCTCATCAACTGTGACAAACATCCCACATCATGATGCTTCCACCACCATGATTCACTGTTGGGATGGTTGAACCAGTTGGAGGTGTGCCAAAACTTTTTCATCCTGCGATGGTGAACTCTATCCATAACCTCACCTTGATCTAAACATCTATATAACTCTCTCCATTTCTTAGTCTTCATCAAGCTTATTACTCACCAACATTCTCAACCAAACTTCTGAAGCCTTGCAATTACAGCTGCCTCAAGTGCTTGGCGTTAAATTGCACATGGTTGGAATTAGGTGACCTCTGAAGATAATTTCGCAGAACGTTTTATTTGGGGGTATCAAAGTAAAGGGCCTGGAAAGAAATATGCTTTTCAGAAGACCATATTGTCATTTCTTTCCACTTTAAAATTTAGCTCAATTATGTGCTGACCAATCCCATAAAATCCCAATAAAATATGCTGAAGTTTGTGGTTGGAGCCTAACAAAATGTGGGAAAGTTTTTGCAAAGTTTTATAGGATTTAATTAATAGAACAACCTCAGTGATGGATTTAATTAACATCAAACTGGGCTGTTTTCCACAGCAGGCATCATTTCACTTTTCTCTGAGCCCAGAATAAACCACTTTGGTGCCTCATGGATGAGAAAAGGTGTTTATAATTGTATTAACGTGTCTTTCTTCAAACAGATCAATGCTTTGCAGAGTAACAGCAGTAGGCTAATTATTGTTATACAAGGACATAAATCTGTCTTGAGGGTCAGCTTTGTCAGCCCTGGCCAGCCCATTAAAAGACCCCAGACGCCAGCCGGAGGGGTATTTTCAGAGCTTTTGTTGCCGATTGTTTGAACGAGGGAAGTTATCAGTGTGAGGCAAAATGACATCATCCAGGAGGGGAGATTTTAAAACATAGGTGAACTTGTCAGAATTAGCTTTTAATTTTTCTGTGATTTCTGTCCCCTGGGGGCTGGCAGGATAAATAGAGCACCCAGGGCTGGCTTGCAATACTCCTGTGCTCAGTGCAGGCTTGCATTTGTTTTTACAAAGTCCCTGTCCTCAGCTCTGACTGTCAGATGAGATGACCCTGTTGAAGTCTGCAGATGGCTGTCTGGCCCCTGAGGTGCTGCTTTCCTCGTTATACTCCTCCTCCTCCTCTCTGTCCCCGTCTCCCTTCTGAGGTGGCCCCTCGCCTGCCTGCTCTTATCTCTCTCAGTGAAGAACTTTGACAGAAAAGGGAACCTGACTCTTGGTAAGGGGCAGAGGTGGAGGAGGGAGTCGGAGACATCTTGAGTCGGTGCTCCGGCTTCAATCGGAGAAGCCGCAGGTTGTTGTGCAATCTGCTTTGTCTTCTGTCTCCTGCGCAGTTAACAGATAACTCTGACACTTAAAGAGGGGAGTTGCTTGCCACCTGTTATTACCCACAACCACAAGTCCCCTGCTGCCTATTAGGCTTAAGCCTTCATTTTGTCAACTCAGTCACATAACTGTTAAAAAGAAAGAAGACAAATGAGAAAGAATGACAGACGAAGGGAGTCCCCTACACTGAAAGTCAACAACATGCTGGTTGTTTGTTCAAGGAGAGGGAGAATGAAAGAGAGTGGAGGAGAAGAAGCAAAAGGAGGGAGTGAGGGCCCTTAGCTAATGGAGGGAGTAATTTGCCAGTCTTGAAAGCCTGATTCATGGTAAGAGACTGTCTCCTGTCCTCTGGTCTCTTGTCTAGAGACTCTGGGCGTGTGCATACATATTAGTCACCTGGAACCAGGAAAGAATCAAACCCCCTCACTCCACTGCTGTAGTCTTTCCACCTCATTTTCTTTCCTGTTTCTTCTGCAGCCTCTCTGTCAGATCGAATATAACTTTCCCTTACATCAAACTTTCCATATTTGTTACATTCTTCTTCTACCTTTTGTGTATTTATGACAGTAGGAGATGAAAAGGTTGATAGATTGGGATGTTATGTACAGTATGTGTGTGTGAGTGTAATGGTCTGAAAGAATGATAGCTCAGCCCTTTGTTTGACTCCCAGTTTCAGCTGCAGGCAACACTTCCCTTCAGTGAACCTTTAGTTCTGGGTCGCCAACTGGTTGACTGACTCTCTGACAAGCTGGAAGGAAATTCCCTGAACTGTCTCTGACAGACAGACCTGAAAAAAGAAATGATCAAAAAGCAAATAAACAACCGATCCCAATGGTGGACTGTGTATAGTTTGAGGAAATCCCTTCAAATTACTTTGGTCGAAAAAAGATCAAAGAGTGGACTGTGTTGAACTCTGTTCACATATGTGTACTTTAGGCTTTTCCACATTATGTAGGATGATGAGAAGAGTTTCTCCAATTGTTATACAGTCTTTTTGTTCAGTGTACATGTGTAGAATAATCCTATACAAGCATGATATACCATAAGAAAGGCAGACCCACCCTGTTTGCAAATATAGTCAGACGCTCTTGGAATCCTGCAGACAAGCTGTATAATTTTATTGCTGTTCTTGCACTTTTTCTTAATCCACCTTAAAAGTCTGGGTGGAGACCAAAACAAGCACGTCTTATCAGATGACCGTGAACATGAAAAAAACTGAACTGGCTATGTTAGCAAAACATGTACTTTCCCCAAAAAACCACAAAGTGATTGAAAAGCAAACATTTGCAGTAAATGAGGGACACAGAACCACTAATTAGGTCTAAAATAAAGGTGACTGGGCCCTACCTGTCAAATGACCACTTTAAGCCTCTGTGTCTGGTTGTTTTTTTTTTCAAGCCAGTGCTGACTCACCTTCATCTTGCTACAGCTAAAAAAAAGTTTAGCCTAGTCACTGAGGGAGGCTGACATAAAATGCCAGCAATTAACCAGTGTACAACTGAACCTCCTACTTGCAGCCAGTGTACTAGAAGTTACCATGCTTGCATGTTTAAGAGAACTGTATAAACCCTCTGGGAACATAAAAGATACTTTATTTCATTATGGCTATTTGGCCAACCAATACTTGGTTGTTAGAATTGCAGTTGAAGACTCTTACTCGATGCTGAAAATACTTTTATAACAGAGTATTGCTCCTCATTAAGGGAAAAACAAGAGTGTCTTTTTTTCCAGTAGCCGCCAAACTAGTAAAGAGTCACATCTCTGTTTAGTCGTGTATTCCTTTATCTCTGCGGTGATGACTTCATGACATTCTTGTCTCTATCAGAAATACAATTTATTGTGTATTTCCCAGTACATTGTTTGAGTCATAACTTTGTTGAGATGCATGTCCATTTTAACTTTGAGCTGTGGTGATGACACAGGATTCTCAATAAATAACATTGTGTTTTTTTTTTTGAGAAATGTAATTCTTAGCACTCATTCCAGTATAGGTACCAGTGCATCACCAATTTATAGCTTCCAGTCATAGAAACGTTCAGTTGCGTTCCTTGAACTCTCAGTGCCTTCATAGAAACCTTTACGTATAGAATTTGTTTAATCAGAAATAAAAATAATGTAGAAATTTATTTGTATTTAAACAGTTTTAAACAGTTTTAAAGGTCTTTGATTTATTTTTATGTGATAAACCTGTGCTTTGTGTTAGGATTGATATAGTGTCAAAGGCTTACAAGAATGCTTAATTTAATTCTTAAGAAATCATTGTCTTTTTTCCTACTTCCACTTATCTAAAATTCTTGAATAAACAGTTGCAAATCAATCTTATAAACATTTACTTATCTTGATTGCACTGTGTTATAACTAGGGTTGAATTGCACTATGTAATTGAATCTCAATGTGACTATGTAACTAGACTGAAATGAAATGAACGGCATTCGTTTTATTTTACGTCAATGTGTGTGAATTGGCGCTCATTGCCAAGATTTGTTGGAATTTGGTGCTGTAAAAATGGATCTGACATAAAATTGTACAGAACATTTAACTTATTTAAACTGAGTCACAGTTCAAATGTAATCCTTTGTTTAGATCTACCAAGCCAAACAGCACTGTTGTTCAATGGGGTTTAGGTGCTTCTGGTAAGAGTGTTTCTCCTGTGAACATGATAAATAGCATAAAAGTTGAACTTGAACTTGTTTGTTTGAATAACCCGTTTGTGACATCATTAACTTGCCGTCCTTCTGTTCTGACGAGGTACGGGAAACGATGTTGTTGAGGAGCATAAGCACCACAAGCACCACAACCACCATAAGAACTCGTCCCATCATCATGGTTACTACAACGAACTGAAAAGCTCCCAGCTGCACAGCCGACGCAAGAGGAGCATTGGTAAGACCAGTCGGAGCTCAGAAGTTGCATCATTACATGCGGGACAACTTGGCACACACAGCGTCAACATGCCCTGAAAATAATCTGAAGTCTCACTTCTAAAACGGAAGTTCCCAGGACATGAAACAGATCGCTTTACACTAATTTCCAACAAAGCTAACAGTTAGTGGTTTTTATACTGCTTTTTAAGGGGGATAAGAGGCACCCTAATGAAGACATCTACCCAGTATTTATTTGCAATCAAGGAATCATGAGAAAGGGAGGCAAGTGCGCGGCGTTGACGGGGACGTCTGACACCAAGCCTTTTAATTGGCCCGAGGCTTGCAGATCTAAAGACACACGCGTCAGGGGAGAAATATATCCCCGAGCGTGGAAATTCCAGACATTCAGGGTTCAAGTTGCAGCTCGCCTCTTCCCTCAGTCAGATTTCTTCCTAAAATGCCACGCGGTACGATATCTGATCGAGGCATGGAGCCTGCAGAGTGCATACTCTCCACCTTACTCCCAGCAGTGGAGAAGTTGGATGTGGACGAAGCTGCTGGTCATGTTTCGTTTATTTGTCTGGCACCATAGGATTACGAGATAGTGTAGCATTTTGGCTGCTCTCCACAGAGGTTCTTGCATTCAATGCATGATTGGCATTTCGTCTTTACAGGATAATTATTATAATTGGACACAGATAAAACAAACTACAAAACAAATTTAGTGTAACATTTGCAACATTTTATGTAAGCATATTTTAATCAGCATTTCTAAAAAGAAATTATGTAACTCTAAGAATCTAAAATGTGTTTTAAATTAAGAAAATCTTATATAATTTTTTTTCTTTTACATTTAACTTTAAGTTGACAACTTTACATTTACAAGTTTAAAAGAAAAACAAAATAAGATGTTTGACTGACAAATGGGCAACCTCCCAGAGCAGCATCTTTGGCATGAGATTGCCCTACCTACCCCCCTGTCTAAACCTCCCCCTGTTCCTCTCATCCTCTTACCCCTCCTTTTTCCCCCCATCTGGGTTGCGGATGCCATGGCTACACCTAATGCATCCACTACCAACCCCTGTTGCTTAACTGTTTAACGTTGGATACAAATATTTTGCTCCAACACAAAAACTCTCCCATTCACAAGTTTTTCATGGCTTTTAACTTTTAACAGAATTAAATTTTCATCCAAAATATAGGATGACCTGCTTTGCTATTGAATGCTGGACACTACACATAAACAATGAGATAAGATACCCATTTGGATAAACCAACACCTGGCGCTAATTTCTAATCAATACATTTAAGTACAATATTTTTACAGACATAAACTAACTTGTAAGAATTTAATAATTCCCTATTATGTTTTCAAACCTTTGTGATTCATTTAAATAATGATACAACCCACAAAAAATCCTTTTTATGCAGCATTTGAATTAAACATCTGTGATTATTAAATTTCCCACCTGTTGAAGTAATGGGTGTCTTGCTGAGTCATGCTATGCTCACTTCAGCGAGGGCCTATAAGTGCAGCTGTTTTCTCAAGTTCCACATGCTCCTTAGACTTTTAGCTGATATGAGATCAGGCTTTTGGAAAGCTTGTGTTCTTAACACTCTTAAAAGATGGTAGGTACGATATGAGGCAAGACAAGCAGCTCTCACATCAAGTGAGTCATCAAGAGTACAAGCAGCTGTGTGTGTGAAGATCAGATTCCAGCAATACATAAGCACTTAGTTGAGGTCGGGAAATGCGTCACCAGATGTTGTAACATGCACAACAAATGCATTGAGCCACTATCTCACTTCCAGTCGAAGAGGCCGTCCCGGCAGCATGCAAGACGCGGACGGTGATCTACGAGATCCCCCGGAGCCAGGTGGATCCCACATCTGCCAACTTCCTGATATGGCCGCCCTGTGTGGAGGTGAAGCGCTGCACAGGATGCTGCAACACCAGCAACATGCGCTGTCACCCTTCCCGCAAGCACCACCGCACCGTTAAGGTAAGACTGGATTCCTTAATAAACCAGTTAGCATCATCAGGCCAAGTATAAACATGTCTCTTACCCTCAAGTGGTAAGTCTGTCTGGCTTTGTTGTTTGTACAACTCACACTTCTCTGTGCTTTTTGGGAAAGTAAATCTGTGAATTTAAATCCAACACCTTAACATTTTAGCATTCAGAGTTTTTGAGATCTGCAAAAGTCTCTAATTTCATTCACCAAAGAAGTTAAATAGATACTCTGTAGGGTATTCAACAATAGAGAGTTGCTCATCAGCATGATATTTAAATATCTAAAAAATATCTAAAACACTATGAAACTCAACGTCATTGTGAAATTATATTTCTACTTTAAAATTTGACTGAAATGAGCTGGGATATCTGGAATTCTGACATGAAAAATTTGAAGAACACTAAATTACATGTCAATATCTTATTTAGGAGAACCTCTCTTGATGTCTTCCCAAAATAATGTCCATCTGACCTCTACCAACGTCATTCCCTACCATTTCAAACCCCTTCCCATCATTCTGTCTCTTGCTTGGTGTAAGTTCAAGGTGAGGGTACAAATGAGAGAAGATGAAAAAGAAAGGAAGGAGGCAGCTGCTGGCTGGGATATCTGTTGAAGGAATTGCCCAGAGAGGGAAGCTCATGCCAGGATTCAAGAAATAAAAAAAATAAATAAAACAATGTTTGAGATTGTTGGAGTGTCACATGCTGCAGGACTGCTTCAACATCTTCCTGTTGTTTATCCTTTTGTCTTTTCTGGAAGCAGTGTGCCCTCGGAAGACAAAATGACAGTGAGAATGAGGAGCATAGCTTTCTTGAAAACATGTCCCTCTGCGTAGGATCAGAGGAGACATGGTGGCAGGACATGAGATGAACTTCTCATTATATTTACAGTGGCAGTATTGAGTTGGTGAACTGCTCTTTTCGGAGGTATGGGGACTATGTGGTCTGCCCTGTGGAAGTTAGAGACAACCAAGGTATAAACAGCGTAGCCAAGAATACTCTGACTGTGTTTGTCTATATCTGTACTTAATTATTGCTGCAGACAGCCTGATCTTGCCCAGTTACTGGGACTGCCAGAGTTGTTTTTCTTTTGCCTTTCATCCAAGTCTTTAAAGATCTCCGCCTGATAGACTAGTCTAGTCATAAAACAAATACCAATCTGGGCTATGGAGGTTTTATTAATGGAAGTTTTTGTATTTTACTGGGATTTTGTGTGATAGACTGTTACAAAACTGCATTGAGGATGCATGGCTTTCAACAGCTTAGACAAATACAAGTTTATTATTATTAGAAGTACTTCAAACTTCAAAAATTTAATGCAGTGTTTTTCAATACATCACCCAAAATAATAATAATAACAAACGGTCACTTCTAATATATGACTTTTAACATAAACAGAGCAATATTGCAATTAATTAACCGCGAGGCTCTTTGTAATGCTAGAGGACCTGCAGACAACCACAGCTCAGGTGGAATTAACTGCAATCTATGTAGGAGATACAGCAAACCTGTGGAAGAAGGTGCTCTGGCCAGGTGGGACAAAATTTAAAGTTTTTGGCAATTTTCAAAATGTTCAGTATTCCTGAAAATCTAAAACACTTGCAACATCACTTGCAACATAACATCCCCATTACCAAACAAGCTTTTCTTTAACAGATACACTGAAGTTGGACAGAGTTACTTGTTTGATGGATGGATCTAAGTTCAGATCAATCCGAGAAGAAAGCATACTAGGTTGCAAAAGTCTTGAGACTGGGGCGAAGGTCATCAGGTTTTTGGTCAGAAATGCTGACTCATGTTGCGGTCAAAGTCGAGAGTTCTGATATACCTCACAATCATCTGAGTCTGTCTGCATGGAAGCGACTCAGCCTGTTTGCCAAACAGTTGGTGAATGTCATCCTCAATAGGAGCTCTATCTGTAATTGGAGCGATGTGGGGATGGAAAGACGCTGGCGACAGAATTTCAAGACGTTCAGTTCAGCTATTCCCGGAAACTTCCATCCAGCTTTGTTTGTGTTCCCCTCATGACATGGGTGAAAAAATGGGCACACAGACAACAGATTAATATTTTGGGGGTGGCAGGGCGGGTGAAAAGCGTTGTGTCCCAAAGGAAGGCATCCCTCAGGGCTTTCTCTGATCAAGTGACACTCATCACATTGTGTGTAAGAAACATTATCTCAGCGTAAGGTTTGACTTTGAACAGAGGCACAGTTTGTTCATTTTCGTTCTTTTATTAGAAAGCTAAAAATTCTCTGACTGCCAAAGGGTCTGGATTGTTTTTCTTCTGTAAGCCAAGGATCAGCATAGAAGATTTCTGGTGTTTTCTTTCAACCTTACACCAACCTAGATTTGTCTAAATCAGCTCTACATCTGCTCTTATTCTGCCCACTCACTTGAGACTGGGTATTTAAAGAAAGCACGATAGGTCTGTGCAGGCCCTGTTCTGTACAAGCCTCTATTGTTCATAGGCATGGTAGTGAGTTTACAAAGGTCTAGTGAGAGGAAGCACATCTTCATAGTAGTGTCATAGCCCAAAACAGTTCATTGAGAAAGGAGCTTAAAATAGGCAGAACTGAGCTGGTGAAATCTACATTTTTTGTAGAAAATGTAGGAAGGTTAATAATTCAACTTAAAGCCGTGAAAGCCGCGAAAGTTGGATTTTTATGTAAGATTATGATATTGTGGTCATCTCATACTGACACATGCTTTGCGACAATTATATTTAGACATGTATTACCTCTACATATATTTTTTCCCATGAAAAATCATACTAAAAAAAAAAAACGCCTGCCACACAAACCAAGTAGATTTCTGAAAGAAAAAAATATTATACAGCAGTGACCGAAAGAAATGAGTAAAAAGTTGAGTTTACATGTTGTTTACAAATGACATTTGGAGACTCAATTGCAACAATACAAGCAGAACACGAGAACCAACCTTTTAAATTAGCTCCATGATGTTCCTAATCTAATCTAAAGGGTGTATCACTTTTAACTTTTAGTAGCTTTTAATAGCTGGGAACCTGTAATCGGCTTCCAAGCAAGCATTTTGCGGTGTTTAGAATGGGTTGTCAGGGCACATCTTTGTTTTACATGAGTGTGGGTGAGAGAGAGTGAGTCCTCGACACGATGCAAACCCAGATGAGGCCATTTGTGCGAAGCTGCAGCAAGAGGAAGACAGACCGCAGAGTAATGAAGTGTTGATGGCTACTGGATCAAAGTGGAGGACAATTGAGGCCAGGCGGAAATGGCCCGGTACAGAGTGTGGGGGTCCCACATATCTCTCAGCGCCAGCCTCCAGGTCCTCGACCCCTACACGCAAACATACTCACACATGATTACCCCAGTAGACGGTGGGTCATGGCAGGGTACTGGGGGGTAGCGGTAGCTGTACCCCTGTGGTTTTGTGGGACTCTGACTTACAGGGTGTTTCATAAATAAAAATGTGGCGTTGATACAGTGAGAATGATTTATGGTTATGTGAGGGACAGGGTAGGGGAGGGTTGGATGGGAGTGAGGGGCCTCTGTGTTTGAAGTTTCTTGCAGCTGTGAATTATTTACCCTTTGATTCAGTCAACTCTCCTGGTGGATGAAGCAGGGTGAGGGAGTTTGTGTGAACATGGCGGGCCAGGTCGCAGACCATGGGAGTGTCTGAGATGTTGGCTACTGCTGCAGCGGCTGGAACGCTTCAGCAGGGAGAGAAGCAGTATTTTTTTAAAATCATATTTGACTCAATAGACTGTATTTTTACCTCACTCCTCCCCTGCTGTCCTCCCTCCTGCTCCTCATGCTTCAGCCCATCCAGATCTCCTCTCTGTACACTTCAATGCTGGAGTCTGATTGTCTGATGTGTGAAATAGTTGTTCACTCCCTATGTCTCTCCTGAATCTGCAACTCTCTAATTTTACCCCACTTGTCAAGTCTCTGCATCATCTGTGCTCTCTTTCATTAAATCTCATTCACTTTTCATCCTTTGCGTTGCTTAGTAATGTCCCTTTCTGAAATTATGGTTTCTGTCAATGCACTTGGAGTTTGCTTCAGTTTTTTTTCGCCCTTGATTACTGCAACAAGGCATGGGCTGGTATGAAACTCTCACGATATTTCAGTATTGCTTAGATAATTCAATACAAAAATGTAAAATAAAATTTTACATTTTATCACTCAGGCAATAACTACAACAATTCTTTTATTTACTGTCCTACAGGGGACAGTAAATAATAGTTGTATTTATTGTTCTTAAAAGCTATCAAGCTGACTGGCAGGATGGAGCAACATGTAGGGGTGGGGCATTAATTTGTGCTCCCTACAGCTGGATAAAACTCAGGTTACTTTAGTCATTTTTTCCTTGCTGCCCCTTAAAAGGAGTTGAAATCATACGGATGAATTGAAGGAAAAATTTTGTATTTTTGAAACCGTAAAGTTTTGAGTATGGCTTGGACTGGTTTTATGCACGAGCTAGTTCTTGCACATCAACGTCAGGCGCACTACGCTCACCGTTGCTCTTATTTCAAACTGTAGATGTCACTGCGTAGTCTGTAAACAGTAATTCATAAGTGAAGAAGAACTTAAAACAAGTGTATTTCCTATAACTAGTTGTGGTCACACAGTTTTACGTTGTAAGTGTTGCTTTCAGGGAATATTGAAGCCTGTGCAACATTTTGCAAGAAAAGCACCTTCAGACTTCAATCATTTACATGTTTGTTAAAACAAATGTGCTTTGTTAATGTGATTTATTTTCTTTTATTTATTTCATTGCACAAACAGAAATAGTAACAGATGGAGATACACAAAGCCTCTCCTTTCTCCTCTTTTTTCTGGGCAGTAAACACAGACTGTCTCTGTTGCCTGTTTTCCCTCCTGATGGATGAATTGTGACCCTGCCCAGCCTCTTTCCACCCCTCTCCATTCTGCAAACATACACATGCACTTTTTATTTATTTTTGCTCCAATCTGTCACTGTTCCAGTTTGCCATGGCCCGCAGTGCACATCCACATCCCTGCTGTGTTTTGCTTGGAAGTCCGGAGCAAAACTTTCCCCTTCCTTCATCATGCTCTCATCGTCAGTGTTCTGTGCTCAGGGAATTCCCAATTAGCCCCGACTCGGACAAACGGCTTCACACAGAAGGGCTGCTGGTGACACTGGGGACAAGCCAAAACCAAAAGGGGGTGTGATTCCCAGACCCTCAAGCCTCACCCCCAACCCTCTGGATTGGATATCATTCCACTGCCACTCAGGGGACTCTTTCTCAGGGCCTGGATTTCCAGGGAGTTTAAAGCAGTTTGATTTATACAAAGAGAGTATGGGGCCCTGTGTCATAGCATGGGAGAGGGGTGCTTTCTTATCTGGGTTTTAAATGGGAAGTCACTGACTGTGCAACAGAGTGTAAGTCTCTGTTAATAAGACAACAATGCACAGAAAGGCTACAGCAAAAGTCCTCATCAGCTCTACCTTCTAACACAAGAAAGCAACCCAATGCATCTAAGCATCTAGATGTGATGAAGGCAACTTTCTGAAGTTTACACTCCACCGGGATTGAGAAGTAAGGCAATGTATGTGACTTGAAGCGTGATATGGCTTTTCGTATCACATTGCCAGCCCAGCATATTTCAGAAACTGTTGGATATGTTTGGTTTTTAAAGACTCAACTAAAATGTGGATTTAAAGAGAATCATACAAAAAAATACAAGGGGCAATTGTATGTACACCTATTGAGGTCAGAGATCAGAGGGAAGAATTTTACACAAACTCCGTGAAATTGAAATTGAGATCGATTTCATGGACATGCAACTGACAAATTTGGAACAAGGTGTAGGAAAGTATACCAATAATTAGAAATCATGTTTGCTTGATATGAGAGCGATTATGGTCCTGCTATGTGCAGGTCATTGAAACAAATGTGCCGCTGGGCTCCACATTAAAGGAGACCATTGCTTCTGTCAATAGCTGTTCGTTCGGCCCGGCAGAGCTTGTGTGTGTCTTAGTCATTAGGATTAGCGTCAGCAGTAAGTCTTAGACAAGACTTTGTCTTCTTTGCTTCCTGACAGACATTCTCGTAACCGGCATCAGCAGACAAGCTGTCCGCGGAGGCAGCTGCATCTTTCATCTCTTTCTCCTTTCATCCGTATTTTCCAGTAAGATAATCGGATTAAACATTGGCAGCGGTTTTCTGAGAAAGTCGCGCCATGTGGGGATGTTTAGCACACTTTTTGTCGATAAATGCAAACCTTTGATAATTTTTCTTTATGTCGTGTCTGTGTTGGTTTAATATATTTCCCAAATGGGTAACCCAGAAACTCAGTGTTAATAGGTAACACATGAACGCCTTCTAATGCAAGTCATGATCATGGTGAGGTGCTCCTCCTCGTCCTTAAATAACCACCTCTATTTGTACACACACATGTGTTCTCCCCTGTGAGAGCTAATGAGAATGGTGGTTAACCTTCCTTCTCCTAGTTTCTTCCTCACTCTGGCCTTTTACCCGCTCCTCTTCTGTTTCATGGCTCGGAAACAGCAAACACACCACCAATATCCCAGACACCATTGTCCTCTGTTTGCTCTCCACATACCTCTCCTGCCTGCTTATCCTCTTTTCACTGCCTTTCTTCTTCTCTTCTTTTCCACAGATAGAAACTGTTGCAAATGAGTGGCTGCTAAAAACTGCTTGTCCTTTGGCTCTTTGCTGCCTCAGTTCCAGTCGCACTGCGCCCTCCCCCCCGGTACCACAAAAAGCAACTCTCTCTCTTTTTGAATTTCAGCATTATTGTTTGTTTTATCAGACAGGGATTGGTATGTTGATTTGTCTGCATGACTGACTCACCACCAAGAGCCAGGCTTGGCACTGTGCCATCATGGGATAGAGGAAAACAGACTCATTGGTTTTGTGCGTGCAGAAGCTTCATGCTGAGTACAGGACTGTGTTGCTCATATGGCTGCTGAGTGCTGGAAGGTTGTCAGCCAATATCCTTTCTCGTGCTGCAACTGGCATAAGTGAAGCCGAGGAAATTGTTTCCCTGTGGTTCCAAAGCCTTCAGGGATGATTTGAGATGTTACCTTTCTTGGTGTTCAGATCAGAGAGGCAATAGCATGTGCCCACCTTCTCGGTTGCACAACAATATCATCATAACCTCCATGCAACCTTTTCTACTCAGCTTTCATCTGAGCTTTAATCAGTAGTGTATTGTTGATGAAGGCTCAGAACATTCATAACTCTTGGATTGGTGGTTGTAACAAGCTGTGCCTTGGAATGACTGGAATTCTTGTTGCACTTTTTGTGCTTGTTTGACCATTTTCTGATTGTGCAGAGTCCAGAAAAAATATTCTTTAGAAACTTTATACAAATTTTGTAACATTGCAGTCATACTTTATTGTAGAAATAAAATATGTATAATAATTTACATGGAACTGTCTGTTGCAAACTCACATTTGATTTCCCTGAGTTAATAAAGTAAGTAATTCATAGTGTTTTGAGTTGTGTCTCTGGCCTCTTTGCAACCTTATTTTTGCCAAATTCTTTGCTAACCAAATTGATTTAGGTCTGGACTTTGACTAGGGCAATCTATTACTTAATAATACACTTTGATGTAAGGTTTTACATTAGTAGCCGTGGCTGCATCCTTGGAATTGTTGTCCTGTTAAATGGGGAACGTCTGTCACATATCTTTTCTACCTCCCAACACAGAAGTCCCCAAACCAGTCAATTTGAGAACAGTGTGACCATCAGCAGCATAGTGTGTGTAATACTGAAAGCATCCATCTGCCTCCATTGATGTGCTTGATATAATGGAGTGCAAAGGAGTGCCTTCTTCCATATGTCAGGAGTGTGCTCTGCATAGTTTGTGGGAAGTTGCAAACAAGGCCGGCTTACTTTCAGCAGTGTCTGTGGTTGTATGGTGACAGAAAATAAAACGGTTTAAGTAGTATGAGTATTTTAGAAGGTACAGTAGATTTCCTACATGCAAGCAAAGCAGAACGTTCTATAATCCATGTAGAAACACGGCTTAAAATCAACATGTTGAGGCAAGGTGAATGAGTTTGGGTGTCTGTTTGGATGTGGATGCTTTGGGTCGGAGCTAAGGGGATCTCCCAGCTTCTTTTCTTTTGCCAGAGCAAACCTTCCCAGGGCCTGAGGGTGCAGTATGCTCTGTCCTACCCCTTATCCTTCAACTCATAGCGGGGTCATACACTCCATTCAGATGCTTAAAGACCATAGAGCATACAACAAGTGAAACCTAATGAATCAGGCTCTGAGGAATGCTCCTGTCACACTCCAAACACAACAAGCAAAGCCTTAGCTGAGTTTTTTATGAATTGGTTTATGCATGTGCCATCAGTCATGGGACTACACCTCTTGATGTTTGCCAGTGGGCAAATAGAGTGTGCATTCATTGACACACACAGGGAAGAGTAAATGTGCAGGAGCCTATAGCTAATCTTTCTCCTCTTTCTTTCCTTAGGTAGCCAAGGTGGAGTACGTGAGGAGGAGACCCAAGCTGAAGGAGGTCTTTGTGAGGTTAGAGGACCACCTGGAGTGTGTGTGCACATCGCAACATCATGTGGTAGAACACTTAGATGCAGAAACAGGTAAATAAATGCAAGCTGGGATTTCCTTCACACCTTCCTTAAATGATGTTTCTGAAGTCCCTTTCAAATATTGTTTGTTTTTCTAAAGTTTGATGGCCAAAATTCTGCACTTACACTTTTGTCACTCTGCACACCTCCTTATTCTCTTGGTCTGCTTTGGATTTAATGAACCTTTACCTCCAAATGCTTCCAAGCAGTCATGCACACCTGCAAGGTGACTCTCTGTTTGAAAACTGTAAAGGTTTGAGCCTTGCTCTGTGAGAATTTGTGTGTTAAGGGTGTGTGTTCAAAGGCTGGTTGGCATGACAGCAGTTAACGTGCCTTGATCTGAAGGTTTCCTATATCTGTGTGCAGATAAGCCCTGTAATGTGCACAGATAAGGCACCTGAAGAATTTAAACTGAGCTAAATTTTTGCACTCTCTGCTTCTGTCCCAGGGCTGTTGCGGTACCTTCGGTTTCCATAAAGCCTGCTTCTTGCTTTAAATCTTCCTTCCTTTTCACCCTCCCCAACTTTTGTGTTTTCAGGCCATCGTAGGGTTAAAGGTAAAAAAAGGAAACCTAAAAAGCTAAGGCCCACCAAGGACTTATTGGTGACATAATTAAGGTGCTCTTATTACCCAAAGTCCACTGCAAGGCTGTGACAGGACACAGGTAGGAATTGAGCACTGAAGTCACCTTTTGGTGTCACACTGGCCCAACCAAGGTCAAAACTGGGCCTGCCAATCACCGTCACCAATCACAGTGCGAGGAGAAGGAGGGCTACCAAGTTTTACCTCCAGGCCCCAATTGTGCATGTTGAATTTGTGACCTCTTGAGCATGCTCACCTTGTATGTGTGTTTTGTTTCACAGCAGTGGTCTTGTGACTTGTTGAGTGCATCAGCAGTTTGTTTTGTCTAACCACTAAAGAGGCACCCTTCTCTCTTAATTATCTCTTGCTCCTCTTTAAGTTACAGTGCCTTGCAAAATCATCTATACCCCCTGAACATTTTCACTTCTCACTTTAAAAATAATAAACCCTCAATTCCATTAATTGGTATTCTACATAATAGACAAATAATGCATTGTAAAACAATCTCCATATTTTTCTGTCAGCATAGTATGTTTAGAGTAATGTGCTTTTTTAGTTATTTTTGCCAATTACAGTTGTAATGTATGTTTTCTATTTCAGATTATGTTTTAAATTATCCTCCTTGGGACATTAATGATTGTTTTAGTACATAGAGTTCAAAAGTAAACGGGGCTGAAAACAAATGCTCATCACATTTCTCAGAATCAACAGTTTATTGTATAAAATACTATTAAGATACATTTGGTTTATAGACAAAATGTGACAAAGTTTATGGGGTGTAAATACTTTTGGGATTCACTGTATCATCACTTTTTTTTTCTGTACTATCTTTTGTACACAGAAAAATCATCCTGAGCATAAATGTGCTTCAACTGATCAAGTTGTTCTGTATCTGGGGAAACTTAATTCAGAACATTATTGGTTTTATGTGTGTTGTGTCAGTTTGCAGGAATTGCATGGATTCAAATGCTGAGGTTGGGATGTGATTGCAGAGATCTGCAAAGATTTTATTTGTAATACTGAAATAGGAGTCTTTTTGCATTTGTGTTAGTAATTTCAGCTTTGTCTCTCTATCCTACAGCAGATGTGAGGTGAGACCTCCCAGACTTAGGGGCAGCATTACAGGATGGACCTAAACCAGAAGAGGACACCATCTTCTTTGTCTGTCTCTCCACCCATCATGCAAACATTGATTAAGGAAAATATACTTCAAAAGTCTTGAGACTGAAAAGTAGACAACAGACTAAAATACAGAATGCCAAATGTGCTTTCAAAACTAGTAATGATGAGGGCAACTGAACTACGATTACGAAGAAAAAAAGATGCCATGAAGCTCAGACTTCAAGAAGATGGAAGGAATTTGGGATGAACAATTCAAAAGACACGCAAAAGGAAAGTAGACTGTGGGATCAGACTTTTTTTCTGAGAATCCAGTGCTATAACTCAAAGTGCCCTGTTTGTATAAAAAACTGTTGCATTCATAAGAAGAAAGCAAAAGGAAGATTGGTATAAAGATGCAAGGAAACAGATTGGGAGTGTTCGTTTTGCAGAACTATAAGAGGCAGCAGACATTGTGACTGGTGGACAATTTGTTCTAATTAAGGAAGAAACAGCCTCAGAGACTTCCAGTTTTGAAATTGCCTTACCTGCTTGTACATATAAATCTACAAAAAAAAAAAAAAAACGGAGGATGCGCCGCTGCTTACAAACTATTTATGCGTGTGGACATTTGCTTTTGTCACTTTCAATCTTCGCGAAAGGACAAAAAAATATGTTTTTATTAATTCCCGCAGACATACTGGTATGTTTGGTGCAGTCCTTTGCTTTCACTAGTATCACAATCTCAGTGTCATTTTTGTTTTTTACCAGTTGTTTTTTGTTGTTTTTTTCCATCGTCAACCATGTTTCGTATTATATTGCAGTATATCTGATTGATGTCAAGTTTTGCATATGGTTCAGATGTATGTGTGCAAGGAGGAGATGTGAGAGTCAGTAAAGGAAGATGTTTTATTTTTGTTATGAAATATATTATGCATACTTATATCCAAGCAGGAATGATGTTTTCTTTATTTTCTTTTGGAAAACAATGCAAATAATTTTAGAAGATGGTTAAATTGGTAAGGTTGAAATCTGTTTGCATCACTGTTGTGCAAAGGGTATAAAAAAGGAGAATCAATAGCTAGTAGTGGCTTATATTTCCTTATGCTGCAGTCATGTTTCATTTTTGAGACAAACAAACAAGCAAATATCACATAGATTTCACAATACGTTGATGACAATTGCATAACTACACCAGAAAAGGTACCACAGTGTGCAGATCTAAGTAAACATGTGGTTGGAGCTGGGTCTGTGTCCTTACAATGAAGCAATATTTGGTGTCTTAAACTCATGTTCAAGATTCACTTTCATTGGATTTAGTTTCGCATATTTAAATCCTTTGTCTCTAAATCCATAGTTTCCATTAAGCCAGTCAAGAAAATGCTACAGTTTGGTGAGCTGAATCCACATTGCGGTCATCTATATGACATCCATGTCAGAAGTGAAAGATGTGGACTTGTGTTGAATTAAAGATACATTCCTTGTTTTGTGTAAGCATACCAGTAGATAAAAAATCTGTTAATGAATGCTGAAGACATAAATGCAGCAGAGACTCATTATCCAGTACAAATATAACCAGAGCTACAGTAGGATGGAATGTTTTTGATCAAAGCACATTTATTTTCTGAAATGGCCCATGCAAAGTGGAGAATCCAGTTAAGAATCCTTGACTAAACTAGAATACTGACTTTCTTGTTAGTTTCCAGGGATGCCTGGAAACTAACGAATTTCCCCCTCAACCCCCCCATAAAATTATACCATAACATTGATCTTATTATGGTATGCAAAATGTATCTAAATTCAACAGAAACATTTGGTTAGAGGTATTTTATATCCATATCATAAAACACAACTATATAAGTCACTGAAGTCCTTTTTCTTTTTTTTTTTTTTTACACATATTTTTTAGTGATTGTTTTCTGCAAGCTGAAAGTCCCTGTCTTCAAATAAATTCAAGGTTAAATTAATCCAGGTTACAGAGTGTTGCTTGCTGTTGAGCAAAATGTAATGGTTAACATTGATTGACACATCTATGATATCCTGGTTTGGATTGAAAGTAAAAATCTATATGTCCCGTTTAAGAAGTATATTTTGAGCTCACACTTTGTGTGAACATACCTGTGGATTGATTTTCTGTCATGTTTACAACTCTGGGTTTAGCTTTGCTTTTTCTTTGATTGGGGGCACAATAAGCAAAACCTTTTTGCAGCGCAAACATTTCCACAAAGACACAAAAGGTAAGTTGTGTTCCATAGATAGTCCTAGATTGTGTATTTGTAACAAGAGGCTGTTTTTCACACATATCTCGAAAGCTGATAAGGAAGATGCCTGCCCGATCAGCTTCACAAGTGCACATGTTATGCCTCAAAGAGCAAAGTCCGCCTTGAAAGAGTGAATGAGTGAGCACAGCAAATCGACGACTGCATGAATGCCCTCCTTGTTTAGTCAGGCTTTACTCCCAGTGTTGACAGGAGAACAAATCACTCCACCCTGTGGAGGGGACTTGCTCTTTATGCACTCATGTACAATCAGGACAAATGATGAGTTCACTGGGGTGGTCTGAAAACATTACAGTGCTGGCCTGACCTTGCACCCTATCTGAACAAACAACCGCTTCCTTTACCAGTGAGTTAACAGTGATGAATGTGGATCAACAGCAGAAAACTAGGATTATTCTTACAAAGCAAAGGGAATTTCACCAGAGCAGAATCACGTGAAAAATCTTACAACAGCCTGTGATTTTGGGAAAAGCTGACTAGAGCCATGTTTACAAGGTGGATTGTTTAACACTGTTCACATTAAGATTACAGCAATGTACGGTCATATTTCCTCTAGCTTCTGATCCGTTCATACATGATTTAACAATGCCATTATGCAATTTGGTAGACTTCCATTGGACAAATGTGCAAATAATCATAATTCCTTTGTTTTCAGTACTAAATGTATTTCTGTTAATAAAACTGCTACAGACGTTTAGTTCCAAAACTTATGACACATATTTTTGAAAGCCATCACATGCTAAAAAAAGACCTGATGCATTTAGAATAAAATGTTGCAAAACAAAAAGGTAAGATAAGCTATCTATAGCAGAACTTTTTTTTTTTTGCAACTTTTCTTGCAAAAAAAAAAACTTGCTGAATGTAACTCCTCTGTAGTTACATTGGCTAAGGCCAGTGTAGCTTGTTTGATCGAGCAAGAGTCAGCAAACTTTTTAAACAGAAGAGACTTATTAACTTCAGGCCCTTAAAATCTTCTAACAGGATTAATCATTGTGAACTATTTCTCAAATGTGTGAAGTTTACTTAAACAAATACTGCAGCTGCTGGCATCCCGAAAGCCACAAGTGAGGATGGTGATGTAAAGGAAATAAGAGCTTTTTCAGGTTTGCACAGTGAGCATGAGCTGAGCTTTACTCCGGTACACATCAGCAACAGACGAAAGGTTCAGGAGCTTTATTGCTTTTCCCAAGGAGCTCACCCTAATCCCAGGGTGGAGGGACATGAAAGTCCTTCTCCTTTCCACTTCCCCGCTATACACCCATCTTATTACCTCAATAGGAAGCCAGATAAAGAAAGGCAACACATGAAAGAGAAAAAAGGATCAGAGAGACAGCAATTCGACAAGCTCGGGGAACGGGAGGGATAAAGTAAAAAAACGTAGAGATAAAAGGAAGAGCACGGGAATTGATTGATTTTATTGTTTTTATCTGACATGCACAGCTTTATTTTAAAAAGGCGAGAAGAGAGGCTGAAGTGGGGATTTAGAGTGCACGGCGTGTTCACCACACAGAGAAAAGAAAGCAATATGTCATGGTGTGGAAAGAGGGAGGAGGAGTGGGGATACCCCGAGGAGTGAGAGTGCAATAGGATGGAGACGGGGGTTGGAAAATAAAGAAAAGAGGGAACAGCGTGGACTCAAGATGTGGATAATCGGCACCACGGCAAGAGAGGCCAGACAGGTCACCTCTTAAGTGGACGTGCTTCTATAAACAATACCAGAGGGGCACAAAGGTCAGGCAAGGTGTGAAGAGCGGGCTGCTGAATGGGCTTTATGTTACTGTGGGCATGTACGCCTTTACATGTGAAAGTCTGCAAATGTGCGTGATTGTGCATGCATATGAACAATACCGAGGAGGTCTCCCAGTGTGAAACATGGCCCACTGGAATTTTAGGCTCTTCCAAAGAGCAAACTGGGATTTTAATGCCTACAATTCAAAGGGTCAGAGTTCAGGGTTCACAGATCATAAGAGGATGTGGCAAGTGCTGCTAAATGAATCGTCAAGCTTTCTCTGGTTCTGTATTACAGCTCATAATACTCTAAATGCTTGCCGCTGACGATGTTATCTAGATCTTAATGAGCAACATTGTCAGGATTAGCCAAAGCTTTTACCATCATTTCTTACATCCTGCCATCTGCCCCTTAACTTTTTTTTCCCAATTTCCCCCCTGTTATGTTTCTCCTCTCTTCCCCAACCTGTGGCCTCCGGGTTTTGAGGAAAGGCAGAGGTGGCCTTTGAAGAAGGCGGCAGCCAAGTTTGTCCGGGGCCACAGCCATGAATGAATGTCTTTGTTGTTCGCCGTCCTCCTACGTCTTCATATCCTACTCCCCCCCGCAACCCCCCTGCTTCACTCAGTATCCTCCATCTGCCCCCCACAAACTCACACCAATACACTCATGCCCTTGCTGGGGCCCACTTTGTACAAATGACCCCGCTAATTATGTATTTAAGGTATTTGGCTCCTGTGAAACAGCTTCGGGGGTTAGTGGTGGAAGGTGGCGAGGCGGTTGGAGAGGGGAAGGTGTATAAGGCCCGTGGTGTGGTCCATGGTCTCATGGCTATCATTACTGCCCAGCAATGAATGTAAACACTGGATTAGGGCAGGAAAGGTTTATTCAAGCGACAGATAGTTGAGGTTATGGTTTTTGACTGTGACCTGGAGTTTCTACTTTCTGGTTTCACCTCTGGGTGGCAATTCCCTCAGAAACACTTACGTCTTATACCTCATTCAGGTGAAGCAATGTTGACTGTGTTGTTAAAAAAAAAGTCAAACTTTTAATCACTGAAAGATGTGTGTTGATGCAAAACACTATTTTATGAGCTTTTGGGCTCTAAAACCTTCACCTTCTCATTATGGAGAATTACTGTTGCATTGCTCCAAAAGCCACAAAATGTTGGGTACTAGCTAAATATAACATTCACAAGTTTATAATATAAGCACCTTACTGCTTACTGATCAATTGTATAAAGATGAGGGCAACAAAATCAATTAAAAGGTATGGAAGCATGTCAATGTATTATCTAAACAATTAGTAAATATCTCAAATAATTTCCATTTTCTATTGAAATAGCACTTGATGTTGAAACATTTTGAAATATCTAACATTCAGTTTGAACTGATTCCTATTCCTCTCTGGCTAACCTTGTTAGCTTGTCCAGACTCCTCTTTCACACTGTCCATTCCTCGCCTCACCCTTCACCTGCAAAAATGAATAAATAAAACCAAGTTATAATCTTGCAGTGAAATTAATGGATTTCTAACACTGCTAAGTCACTACACTCAAGTTAAAGCAGTAAAGGAAAAATAAGGGAAGAAAGAGCTCTAGAAACTCAGTGTTGACCTCGGTCAAGTGAAGAGAGGCATCTGAATGCTGATAAACTGGAGTTGGACCATAGCTCGGTAGATTCATTGTGGCGCTCATAAAGATAAGAACCTGCGGCCAAGTAGCACAGATTCCTTCATGTTTGTGTACGCAGATTTTTTTTTAGCAGCAGTATTGAAATTCTAGAAACTGTATCTCTTTTCCTTTTACAATATATCTTTTTTTCTGTGTCTGGCTGAGGTGAATGTGACAGGGCTGCTGTTGGTCCCAATAAAACTCAAGGAAGGAAGAGTCGAGAGAAGAAGGGAGAGAGAGAGGGTGTAGAACAGAAACTACAGAGAGTGGATGTCTCTTGAGAGCGATAAGTCAGCCTCTAATGGGAGAAGAAGCTTGTTGTAATTAGAAAGGGAGAAGCGCCGTTTTCCAGTGGCTGCTTCGAAAGAGGATTAGTGTGTGAGGGTGCACGTTTTCTGATGGGAGCGCAGCAGGAGAAGCCAGTTTTTCTTTGTACGTCAAATAAATCAAAAAGTCTACAATTAGAAGGAAGGAGTGAGGAGTGTTTGGCTTCTGGGAAGAAAAGATGAGAGCTCAGAATCTGTCAATGCTGATGAGAAATAAGGACTTGTGTGCGTGTGTGCGATTGTATGTGTGAGGTCGGGAGTAGCCAGTGCAACCGACATTCCTGGGCCGGCAGTATTATTGATTGCAGTGTAACCATTATCAGTGTTTACTTTGATCCGTCATCATCAGAGGAGTAATGTACTCAGCTGAACTTGGCCTCCCAGAGATGCTTGACTTCATTGAGATGATGATATTCAGGATGTTCTTCGCCTCGTTATTTCTAGCTCCGTCAAGATGCAGTCCAAGTAAAAGCATGAATCGAACGGTCCCATAACTCAGCTGCTCAATGACACCACCTGGTTTAGCAGCCAGGGACACAGACAGAAACCCAGCACTCCCTTATCTTCAAGGAAAAATCTTGTCAGTAAACTGGGCTGAAGCTCAGACACACACAGACCTGACTGTGTTGACAAAAAGAAGAAAAGATGGCATGAGGAAGAAGTGGCGCCCTCCTATCAGTCTGATGAGGGTATGATGAGAGCATCACAGACCTCACACTGTTCAGCCCAGCAGGCAGGTGGCAAACACACCTGGTGCCAAAGTGTGGATCAATGTTCAAAAAGAAAAGAAAGATTTGAAATCCATCTCTATGGGACCTATTGTTAAGCACACGTTGTGGACATTCCCAAAGCAGACCAAGGTTTTAAAATTGAGTTGCTCTGTTTTCTCTTCAAGTGCAAATTAAATGAGAATAACAAAAAAAGGGCATTTACTTTATGGGTAGATTTCACTGTTGTTATATCAT